GATTAAAATTATCTAATTATAATTAATTTCTAATAAATTGTGCTTATAAATGTAACATATAATTCAATTTAAATCAATTAATCTAATTTTGTTTCATAATATTTAAATTTAAATTCATTTATTTTTATGTTTCTTTTTCAGAACCTGGATTTTTTTTTTGAATCGACCCAAATCAATTTTCCTCCGTGAGCCAGGGATCCCCTTTTCATTTCTCCTTCTGAACTCTACACTTTGAATATTTAATGGTATAAAAATCAAATTCATCTAATTTACATAATATATCTTAGTAAAACTGTTATGTTTCTTTTCAGAACTAGGATTTCTCTTTCTTTCAACCTAAACAAAGTGTCCTTCAAGAGCCGGGTAACCACTTATAATATTTTTTGTTGATTTTTATACATTAAATGTTTAATGGAATAAAAATCAAATTCTTTTAATTTACATCAAATATCTTGAAACTTTACAATCATTCGATTAAAATTAACTAATAATAATTAATTTCTAATAAATTGTGCTTATAAATGTAAAATATAATTCAATTTAAATCAATCAATCTAATTTTGTTTCATAGTATTTAAATTTAAATTTATTAATTTTTATGTTTCTTTTTCAGAACCTGGATTTTTTTTTTGGATCGACCCAAATCAATTTTCCTCCGGGAGCCGGGGATCCCCTTTTCATTTCTCCTTCTGAACTCTACACTTTGAATATTTAATGGTATAAAAATCAAATTCATTTAATTTATATAAATTATCTTAATAAATCTGGTATGTTTCTATTCAGAACTTGGATTTCTCTTTCTTTCAACCTAAACAAAGTGTCCTTCAAGAGCCGGGTAACCATTTATAATATTTTTTGTTGAATTTTATACATTAAATGTTTAATGGAATAAAAATCAAATTATTTTAATTTACATCAAATTTCTTGAAACTTTTAAATCATTCGATTAAAATTAACTAATTATAATTAATTTCTAATAAATTGTGCTTATAAATGTAACATATAATTCAATTTAAATCAATTAATCTAATTTTGTTTCATAATATTTAAATTTAAATTCATTTATTTTTATGTTTCTTTTTCAGAACCTGGATTTTTTTTTTGGATCGACCCAAATCAATTTTCCTCCGGGAGCCGGGGATCCCCTTTTCATTTCTCCTTCTGAACTCTACACTTTGAATATTTAATGGTATAAAAATCAAATTCATTTAATTTATATAAATTATCTTAATAAATCTGGTATGTTTCTTTTCAGAACTAGGATTTTTCTTTCTTTCAACCTAAACAAAGTGTCCTTCAAGAGCCGGGTAATCTTTTATAATATTTTTTGTTGATTTTTATACATTAAATGTTTAATGGAATAAAAATCAAATTCTTTTAATTTACATCAAATTTCTTGAATCTTTTAAATCATTCGATTAAAATTAACTAATTATAATTAATTTCTAATAAATTGTGCTTATAAATGTAACATA